TAACCCAATTAAACCTTGACTTTTTTTTTTTTTTTTTTTTTGGTTCCATATTTGGTTGTTAAAATTCATCTATTGACTTTTGGTTTTCTCTCTGGATAATACTGTCCAGACGATCGCCAAATCCTTCCTTCAAGAGACACAACCATCACTGACACATCATCATGGTACTTCCTTCTATCTCCTTGAGGTATATCCAACAGATCATGAAACTCCATCCCTGCAATACACATGTAAACCCTCGTTTTTATTATTACAAGAACAGGCTTTTGGTCAAACCAAACCGATGATGATCATTTGAAACTGTACCGTTCTTGGTGGCTGCACGAGAGAGAAGCTCTGCAATGAGGTATTGAGCAGGATCACCATCAGGAACGTTTTCTATGAACCACGTCACGTGAGCAACTATCTCTTCGTTGCTGAAGTAATCATACAACCCATCAGAGCACAAAACCAAGAAACGATCGCTTGAAGTGAGCCTGTGATGGACAGTACACGGTTCGCAGCTTATGTATGGATCTGTCCCAATGTACTCTACTCGGAACATCTCAAGTAAAGCTTCGTTGAAACTCGGCTGCAACAACATGAAGTAGTATTCAGAAGATATACAAGTCCACAACATAGTACTTTGTTATGAAAGTCTCTTACCTTTTTGAGAAAACCAGCACCGAAAGCTCGAGTGACTTTGAGCTGACCTTTAACTCTGTCTTTGAGTATGGACTGCTCATCATCTGGATGTTCGGATCTAATTCTTGAAACCTCCTGAAACATATAAACAAACTTGCTTTTTAACAAACCAGAGCTACGATTGAGCTTGGCAAATCATAAACTTAATTACCTCTTCCACACTTGTGCTATGATCACTTGAGAGTTGAACGGCTCTCATCTTTAACCGGTAAGAAGTTACATCTCTGTTTTTGTTTGAGACACTAATCTGAGTGGTTAGATTGTGTATTGGAGATTCTTCTGATATTCTATCTAGTTCCATACGCACTAGTGATTCTCTGGATCTACTCTTATGCCCCATACCTTCCTCAATTCCAAACCCTGGATTAGAATGACGATCATGGAGCCTTTCTTGGGCCAAGATAGCTCTACTATCCCCAACATTCATCACGTAAACATCTTGATCCTTCATTAGCATTACGAGAACACATGAACCCATCAACGCAAGCTCCGGGTTTATGTCAAGAGACTTCTCTACCATTTCCATGTAAGCCTCTTCAGTAGTTTCCAGTGCTCTAGCCATTGCTTTTAGCACATCATCATGGTCTACAGTTCCTGACCAGCGTCTCCTAATAGGTCCTGATGACTCCACTATCTTCTCTTCAACGCAAGTCGTCGTCCCTTCTTCTTCCCTGTGCCAATCATAACTCCAAGGAAACAGCTTTTTCCTTAAAGACTTTTGTTTTTGATACATTCTTCTTATCTTAGAGCTTATCTGCGATTTTTTAGTCCCATGGATTTGACCTGAGTTTGGAATCTCATCAAGAACGGTATTCTCGTTGGTACACGGATCATTTCCACCTGAAGTGGATGCATTTTCAACCTGATTGGTCATGTCATTTAGAGCCACACTCCCTCCATGAGAATGTTCATCTTCATCCCACCGTTCCAATTGAAGTAGCTCGTAAAGTCTCGTGCTTTTCTTGCCAAGACCTGCTAAATTTCCAGGTGGACCATCAGCAATCTGAGTGTCGGCATCAGTAACCTCTTCACTTACTTCCTGTAATGACTTTGAATGCTGCTCACTGGTAGTTTCTGGAACAAACAAGTTCTCCTGTGTAGAATGAGGTTCCTGGTCTGGCTGCAATGTATTATCTTCAGATGGCTCGTCATAAACCCAGAGAAGACCTTCCAGTTCCTTGTCTATAGCTTTGTACAGATGACTCATCACGAAATCTGGAGCATCCGGTCCACTAAAACCATCATATATCCCTATGAAGAGCCATCCTTGTTCCTCTGAAAGCACAACATGAACCCTGTCTTCTCCAGCTCTCCCATGAGCCCATTGCAAGTGACGATTGCTCTCTAGACAACTCTCCGGGTGATCTTCACCATGTAATTTACCTTCTTTTCCCCCAGGCCAAGACACCCTACTCTCTGGATGCAAGAAGAAGCGATGCATCCAACTTAAACCACCTCCAGACCGTCTAGAAAACGTCCTTGCTAATGTACTTCTCATTGGCCCGCTTACACTCCTCATAAACCGCTGAAACCGAGGCTTTCTACGTCTGAAAGAAAGCGGAGCCGAGAAATTAGATTTATCAGATACATCAAGAGGTCCAGACATCACTCCTTTCTCTATAGGCCCTGACATGAAACCATTGTTTCTATCCAAAGGACCAGACGCAAAACCTCTCTCAAGAGGCCCAGACATAAAACCGTTCAACGGTCCTGAACCACCACGAGGGACCGGCTGCAAAGGAATTGAAGCAAAGGAAGATGTGCTTTCAAATGTAGCAGCAGGCTCCAACACATCACCGGAACACAAAGCCATTTGATTCCCAGTCCTAGCCGTGGAGACATTGGCACTAACCGAAGCACCTGAGATTGCCTTAAAGGTTGTTTCCCCCAAGCCTTTACTGTTGTGTCTATTCAAGAAAGAAGGATCATCAACGACCTCGTTCCGGAAAGAACCACTGAGAGTCTCGGAGTCAAGGGTGCTTGAATCAATGGTGAACCTCTCCGAGTTAAATGGAGTAATATTAGGAGACTCGAAGATGCTTGGCCTAACGTAGCAAAAGGAATGCCCTAAACCTTCATCTAAAGGCTCCAGAAACTCCGAATCGACGCCGTTTTTCTCATTAGACGGCACGAAACAGCCGACAACACGTGAAGTTCCGTTTCCCATCACTCAGGCAATACTACAAACACCTTGTAGGCACAACAATCCCATGACAAAAACCTCTTAAAAAGAAGAGTATCAGCAATTTCCAGCACCACAACACTTAACAAACAGAACCCTACAAAGATCTCGTGACATCTGAAAACGCAAACAAGCAAGCACCTGCTAGTATCAAAATTAAAGTTAAAAAATCAGCTGAATGGTTCTTGAAAAAAAGAAGCATAAAGAGAGAAACTTTACAGTGATCTGACCTTTTTTCAGTAGCTTGAGTAAGGAAGCAGAATCTGGAAACAGATCTAAAGAGAGTGTATAGAACACATCGGAAGCAAAGAGAGGACTAAAAACAAGACCTTTAGATTTCTATGAGAATCTGACAAAAAGTACCCATTTTTAAAAAATATATATATAAATAAAAAAAAAAGGAAGAAGACCCAGATTGAGATTGAACCATGCAGATACGACCAGCTGTTAAAGATCCAACCTTTTCAGGCAAAACAAAAAAGAAGCTAAAACCCAGAACCGTTGTTTTAAAGTTTTTTCCCCTTCTTTGAGATGTACGGAGAAACCGAGATTCAGAATCGACAAAAAAAACGAGAGAATCCAAAGAGGAAGCTTGAAACGGCAATGGGTTTTGATTTTTTGATTACTTCTTTAAGCAGAGGCTTAAGAATTTTGTAATTTCTAACTTTGTTAATTTCTATTTTAGCTCATCGGTGAAGCAGAGAAGAAAAAGAGTTTAAGTCTTCTCTATTTCTCGGGGTTTTCAAATGGTTTGGGAGGGTAAGAAAATAAAAACAATAACCATGACAAAAAAAAAAAAGATAAACAAATAGGAAAAAGGCAAAAGAAACACACAGAGTAAAAATTTCTACCAATTGCGTTGAAAAATGCAACAAAGTGAAGACCGCCTTTTAAGGGTTTTTATTTTTTTTATATTCGAAGTTTTGCAAAAATAAAATGAAAGCTTTAAGAATTTATATTAATGGGGCTTGCAAATGATTGTTGGCAGCCGTGCCTGAGTACAAGTCAATTCTGCATATACAAAAACAAAAAAAAAATGTATTACTTACCGTAACATTTCAAGTTCTCATAGTTTCGAGAGAGCCTAAATAAATAATTTGGCTTCAGAGCTTAAAATTTTCGCCACGACCTGATTGGAGGTATAAAATTACAGGTGATTCACGTCATTATTGTTCTCTCGTCCATGGACCCTTTTCATGGGTTGAAGTTTTTTTCCGTGGGACCAGTTTTTTATTATTCACACCGGATTTAATTTTTTATTTTAAAAGAAAATTATTTTCCTTCTTTTTGTAATGTTCTTAAATCTTTTTATAATTGGTTGCATTGAATCTTGCTCCTCATTTCAAAAGATTTGACCGGTGTTAATTATAATATATAGTTTGAACGTTGAAGTATGCTAACTTGACATGTTAGTCTTGTTTCTATATATTATCATCATATTCCGGCTAGCAATTTTATTTTAAACCCCAAGTGGCTCAATATAATTATTAAACTAGGTAAATTTAACATTTTACAAGTCTAATATGCATTTATATAAAAATAAAGAAATTTGGAAGATTGTGATGATGCCTAACATGCAAGAGAGGCCAACTCCACGAGCAGTCACATTTTAATTGAAAACAAGTTGTTGACTTAAACCAAATCCACTCTCTCCTTTTGCCATTGAGTATTCTGACTACTGACAAACACTTTCAACGCCCAAGAAAATTATGCTTTTGGTTTCACATTGTTTGTTTTTTGTTTTTATTTATTTATCTGCATCAATGATCCAAGGATCCGAAACCGGAGCCATTATCAAACCATCCACTAAATTAGCTATTTGTATTTATATAAGCCCTTTTACAACAAAAAAAAAACTCTTTTCAATATCACAGAATAAAACAAAAGTTATTGGAGTGGGCATCTGCATCTCCATAGAAATGTAGTTCCCTCATAAAAAAATATATTTTTGCTACTAAGAAATCCTTACTTGCATGACTGAATCCATAGTGTGTTAAAGATAAATTTATCAATTGTATGTAAGGCAAAATTAGAATTGATTCCGGGAGCTGCCTCCAAAGGAGCTGGTACTCACTCACTATTGAGTTTTACGAAATAAGGACTTTCATTTCTTAAAAATTGTCAAGAATGAAATGACCTATGAATATACGATGGCATTGTGTATTATGTCCATTTGCTTATTATGAAATGACCTATGATATAAGATGTCACAATTCAATTGACTTGATCCATTTTACAAGGATCTGAGAATACAAGAACATTTGCTGAACCTTTGAGACCACTAAAAGTCAGATGGTAAATACGTAAACAAAAACATCTAGTAAATTGAATAAATTAACACATAATCTAAACCTAATTAAAAACATTATTATAGAGATGACAAGCGTAATTATTACCAGTGCACAATTCTTTTTTTTTTTGATCAAACATTCATTCATTCATAAAAGTAAAGAAAAACCAGTGCACAATTCAGACGGTCAAAACATGTTAATTGGTTGATTTGGAAGTGGTAATAATGTTAACGTTGGTTTGGAAGTGGGAATGGTTGATTTTGTGAATTTGGTTGTGACGATCGGTATGGTTAGGATCGTTAAAGGGTCTCTATGGTTTTGGACTATGATTTGCAATATATTGGTTTGTACACGAGGTCATTCCACACGGCCCCTCTAATACCGACCACAAATGCTCAGCCTCTATCCACAACTACTGTAAATTTTAAAAATTCACAAAACCATCTAGTGTCAACTAAAAGACAATGTTCAACTCATAACAACTCAACAACTTACTGTAAATTTTAAAAATTCACAAAACCATTTAGTGTCAACTAAAAGACAATGTTCAACTCATAATAACTCAGGAACTTACTGTAAATTTTAAAAATTCACAAAACCATTTAGTGTCAACTAAAAGACAATGTTCAAGCTCGATCCCTAAATTCCTTGAAAGCGTTTTTCTCTCTTGAACAGCTCCTTGTAGTCGTCCCTGGGGATGGATCTCTTGTCTTCTGGATCCCCAATTTCCCATAGGCCATAAAGCACCTGAAGATTTTCCACAACGTCTTCGCAGATAGTACCCTTGATGCTGAAAAGGTCCATAGTGGCTGCCCTCCCATGCAGTTGTCGTGGGAAATCACTTGAAGTGACTTCCTCCGGCTTACGGACATCCAGAAGATCCCCGAGAATGTCCTTCATCTCGATGAGTGGGACAGGATCATCTCCTGGACTGGCTCTGTCTTCAAGTTCTTTCCTTGTTCGTTTCTTTTTGGCACCTCCACCAATAAGATATTCATCCCATAGGGGATTCCAACCACCATCGTCAGTAGGCTTGAACTTCAACCTTTCATCTGGGTGTAATAACACCCTCTTCGTATCGGTCTCCTAGAAAAGAAAAGAGAAAAAAAATAATAGGGGATCAAAAAAATTTCTTCAAAAAGTAATAAAAGGAATGAGATAGAAACAAGAGAGTGTACCTCCATATTCCTCTTTATTCTTATAGATATAAGAGTCTGGAAGCACGAAGACCACTCCAGGTAAACTGTTGAACTTCTTTGATTCTTCTTCTTCCATGGATACTTGAAAACCAGTGTATGTGTCTGTGCTGCAAGCATAAATTTTCTTTCTAGCTTTATGAAGGCTGATAAAACATACACAACAATATAAGTAACAAAACAAGAGAAATTTGTAAAAAAATCAAAAAGAGACTTGTAGGTACCTGATACTGAGACCTTTCCTGCAGGTTAACTCGTACTGATAGATCATTTAATCGGGAGACAGTGGTGTGGAGAATTTCATGAGGATGATCCAGTGGGAATAATCACAATTCCTTCACATTTAGCTCCTTTGATGCGGAAGACATCAATGGTGGCGGCCCTCCCATGCAGCTGTCTTGAAAAGTCGTCAAAGTTGACGTCATACTCCATATATATATAGAGAGAGAAAAACCAGCATCATCTAAGCTCAGGAATTAAAAAGGAACAACAAAAAAAAAAGACTAGTACAGAAGTTGTGCAGTTTTTAATCAAATCTGAATGAAACAAAACGCTTTAAATAACGACCTGTTTGGTGAGACTTTTCTGTAAAGCTTTATTTAACAACTAGGTAAAGATCTGCGTTTTACGCGGGATGAAATTGTTAAAAATAATTAAATTTGCTATAATTTTTGTTCATAATTTCCAATAGATTTTGTATAGAAATTTTAAAAATATGTTATGTTAATCAAGCATATAGTAGGTTTAAAAATACTTGCAATGAACAATATTTTAGTATCAAAATGTTGGATTATAAAAAGAGATGAATCGAGACTTGGTAGCAGGAGCATTATAAACTTCAGAAATTCAAAAGGAAATGAAATTAATATGTGAATAAGCTTACGATCATAGTTGTATTCATAATCTTAGAAACAACTATCAGATTACAAATTTGGAGGAGAAAAGCAATAACTCAAATCAATTAAAATGAAAAAACAACCATTTGCATTTTTCTATTATAAAACCATAGAAAAAGGAAAAAAACATGAAAGATGCATACATCAGTTTACTGTTGATTCAAACAACCCTCGGAATTTATGAAAACATATTCATTTGTTTCGTGCTCTGGAAACAGAACTGAAAACAAAGTTAAATAAGATTTATTAATAAATGAACATCAAACAAGTACGATATACTTGACTATGCACTACCCTTTTGCTTACAAACTACATATATAAAACTTTGGCTCAACAAGTGTCTTATAAGAACATATATTTTCTTTTTTTTTTGTTTCCATCGATTAAAAGAGTTGCTTAGAGATCAATGCAACTGCGCGAATTTTGGATCTGAAACAATTACTATAAATTCAAGGAAGCAAAAAAAACAAATCCCGCGCAAGCTTCCTTACTTTTGAAAAATAGACCACTTTATAAGTAATCATCGAGATTCTGTCTATTCTTTTGGTTTTGGGTCTCACAGGTAATAACAACAACACAAGAAAAAAAATTATTCCTTGCGAATAGTGATTTTTGTTATGAATCATTCTTTGGTCACCATTCATATCCTAAATGTAATGAAATATAAAAATGGACTTGCTAAAATGGACTATGTGATCATTATATAGGCCCAGTAATTGGAAAGGGCCTCGTTACGGTCACTTGGGGATCTGGCCGGTGTAAGATAGTCATAAAACGGTGTCGTTATCGACAGAATGGAGGAAATATGTCCACATGATCATATCATTATTAATTTGACTGTGGCAGAAATTGAGGAGGAACATTCAACTACAGACACGCTCTTGTCATGTTTGTTTTATAATTTGTAAACAATTATGGTGGGTAAGTCTCTCACCTAGGGATTCAAACTAACTAATACCAATATTTTAAATAAATTTTAGTTATTTTCTCCAAAGTCATTAGTAATAGATATATGTGTTAGAAAGTTTTCAAAACATATCTAAAATTTCCTTGTTTGAGATATTTTTTTCTCTGATTCTCATCTTAATTTGTATTGGGTAAACATCCATTTAAATCCATTTAAGTATTTATGGATATGCTCTAAATCCCTCCAAAAGGCAATTAATGACTAGTTAAAAATAATATTTTTTTTTTTTAAAAAAAGGGTAAGAATCTTATATTTATAGAGATCATTAACTATTTTGGGAGAACAGACATCTGTAGTCCAAGATCTTCACTGACGTAAATCAAATATTAGCAAAAAATAATAATATGTTACCAAAAAGCAATGCAAGTGTGAGTCAATTTATATAACATAAAAGCCAAAACAATCCATCAGTCGTTATCACACATGCAGTGAAAAAGATTCCTTCCATCGAAACCGATCTTAAAACTAAACTCAACAGTTCTGTTTTTTTTTTTGCTCCAGCTCAGCTCTTACGACGCCTGCGGAGATGAATAGCGTAATGCGTATTGCGTCGGCGATATGCTGCCTTTGGCTGTGTTCTGTCGTAGGTGTGGCTTGGAGCAGATCTAGCAATACAGAGGATGCGATCTGGTTGCTGGAAAGTAAATTGATGGCGACATCTAATGCTTCCATGGTGCCTCTCACTTTGATTCAAGGAGCTGCCTCCAAAGGAGCTGGTACTCACTCACTAACCTCTCTTTAGTTGTTTTTCATTTCTAGAAAGTCAAAGCTTGAAAATGAGTCTTGAATTATATCATCAAAGACCTAAATGGATGCAGTTTGCCTTGATGGAACACTGCCTGGTTATCATCTACACCGTGGTTTTGGATCAGGTGCTAACCGCTGGCTCATCCAACTCGAGGTGAATGCTCCTTATAGTCTTTGCTTATTTGCTCACAATTGTAGTTTTGAATTTAGAAGATTTCGTTTGGTTCTGAATTTGGTTATGACTTGTGGATGCAGGGAGGAGGATGGTGCAACACACGGAGAAGTTGTATCTTCAGGAAAACCACACGCCGTGGATCATCAAATCACATGGAGAAAGTTTTGCCTTTCACTGGAATTTTGAGCAACAAAGCTAATGAGAATCCTGGTTTGTTGTCTAGAACCATCATGACCTTTATCATTTGCTTGCAGTGTACTGAGAATTATCTTTTCTTCAATGCAGACTTCTACAACTGGAACAGAGTCAAGTTGCGTTACTGTGATGGTGCTTCTTTCACTGGTGATAGTGAGGACCAGGTTAGTCTAAGACTACTTCAGTGATTTTTGGTAACTTAGGATATAAACTGGATCATGCTATTTCATTTCCCTTTCTCTTGGCTTATACAATGTCTTTTTTTTTATATATATATATATATATATAGAGTTCACAACTATATTATAGAGGACAAAGAATCTGGCAAGTAGCTATGGAAGAACTGATGTCGAAAGGCATGCAGAAAGCAGATCAGGTATATTGCATCTTTTCGTTTTACCCTATCATGCTAATGGATTTTGCTTATATATATATATATGCTTTGATGTTTTGACTCACCTATTAGTAAAAAAAAAACTATCACACAGGCTCTGCTATCTGGATGTTCAGCTGGAGGATTAGCTTCTATCCTGCACTGCGATAAGTTTAAGCAACTCTTACCCGGTAGTACTACTAGAGTGAAATGCTTAAGTGATGCTGGAATGTTTATGGATGCGTAAGTAAATCTCTTCAACTTGGCTTTAGTTAACTCTTCAAAGAGTCTTTTATGAACACATAATAATTGATTTGGAAAATGTAGAGTGGATGTCTCTGGAGGCCACTCGCTCAGGAACATGTTCCAAGGTGTTGTTACAGTTCAGGTAATCTTAGGATTAGAGGGAGTTTTTGCTGCTGAGGATGCATACTATTTAATCTTACTCTAAATATTGATTTGTGTTTATAGAACCTCCAAAAGAAACTGTCTACTACTTGTACAAACCATTTGGATCCAACTTCGGTATTTTTCTTCACTCTATTAATTACTAGTCATCAGACAGGGACTTGAGCATCTTCAACCTAATCGTTTTGTACTATTTTTGTTTTCCCCTTTAGTGTTTCTTTCCTCAGAACTTGGTTTCAGAGATTAAGACTCCTATGTTCCTTCTGAATGCAGCTTACGACGCTTGGCAGGTAATAAAAATCCATTTCTTCAACTCTAAACCAGTTTTTTTTTCTGTCTTTCATTCTCATGATACAGAAGGGAGATATGTATACATCAGGTACAAGAGAGCTTAGCTCCTCCATCTGCAGACAGAACCGGCTCTTGGAAAGCATGCACATCAGATCACTCCCATTGTAACTCATCTCAAATCCAGTTCTTCCAAGGTGACTCTTTCTTTGACTCACATCTCTTATAGTACGTAACCCCTCACTAATGTTATATTTATCACATATGATTTATGGTTGTTGATTCTTTGTTCTTGTAAATTCAAATGTAGACTTCAGGAATCAAATGGTGAATGCTGTAAAGTCTTTCTCGGCCTCGACTCATAACGGTCTGTTTATAAACTCATGCTTCGCCCACTGCCAATCAGAAAGACAGGACACTTGGTTTGCACCAGATTCTCCTAGGCTTTATGGCAAGACGGTAGCTGAATCTGTTGGTGATTGGTACTTTGACCGGAAAACAGTCAAAGCCATTGACTGTCCTTACCCTTGTGACAAAACATGTCACGATCTCACCTTCTGAGTTTAGAAAAGTCATCAAACTCAAACAGCTTCTTGATTCTTTATCCCTATAATTTATGATACTATCTTCTCCTAGTTGTGTGTTTGTTGTCCGTTTTTATATGTGTTTGAGTTTATGCAGTGGATTTGAAAGCTGAAAGCTTGAAGGTGTATACAACATTCTTTTAAATAAAAGTTGGTGAAACTTACAATATTTAGATATATATTTTTGACTCGAATAGAGATTACACGTTTTAAAAAAAAAATATTTCTCATTTTCTATTCATTTCAGTTGTTTAATTAAAATAGTATAAAGATGGGACATAATTCTTTCCAATCCTAGAAGTTTAGTAGTAGACCATAAAATCAAATAAAATAAATCTTAACTTCAAAAATATATAAAAAATGGAATTATAATTTCTATTAAAAATAAATTTGTAAATAAAAAACAATTAATCGAGTAAAAAATTAAAATACACATGTTTTCATAACGAATCAAATAAAATTAATAATATAATTTGAAACTGTAAAACATATTGATTAGGGGTTTTTTGGAATTATAATAAAATCAGGAGGTGGGCAAGGCGATTTCTCGGGTATAAAAATAAATAATGAATATCTGACCAAAAACTTGGCGCTCAAGGCAAGCTGTAGCAGTAAAAATAAGGAAAGTGAATATCATTAAAAAACCTAACCTTGGTGGGCAAGGCTATTTGTCTGTCTGTCTGTATTAAAGGAGATGATCATTAATTAGTTCTCTCTTGGCTTTTTTTGTTTGTTTGTTTGTGTTAACAGCAGTGATCGATCGATGTCTTTGTTTCTCATAAGCCGTAGTCTCCGCAGAAGATCCTCCACCTCTGTTTATCTTCCTCTTCTTCTCTCTAAGGGCTTCTCAACTACTAAATCCTTGCGGCAAAAGCAAACCCCTCCTTGTTCCATCTTGGGCGCAAGTGATACTAATGATGACGATGTATGGAGACTCCAAGTTGCCTATTCTAATAAACTGAAGATTATTCCACTGGAAAAGAAGATACCTTTGGAGCTGGTGTATAAAGAACATGATGATGGAAAAACCGAAACGATAGGGGCATCCCATGGGTGGATAGCTACTGTGAAGGAGGATGGAATCCTGCGTCTGCAAGACGATTTTAACCCTGTGGCATCGGATGCAAATCCGAAACGTATCCCTCTGCCTCCTCTTGTGACTCTTGCTCATTGCCAAACCAAGATCATCACCAACGTGTCAATGTCATCATCTTGTCCAGAGGATGATGAGGACTGTGTCGTGGCTGTCAAGTTCTTAGGGCCTCAGCTCAGCTTTTGCAAACCAGCTAGTAAACGCAGGGAGTGGACCAACGTTAAGATCCAACACCCTTGCTTCTTCTCCTCCCGTGTCGTGTATTCCGAGAAAGACAACATGTTTCGCATTCCCGGATCTCGCGGCAAACTCATCGGGTCATGGGACCCTTGCAATCCCAGCGATGACCCCAAGCTGCACAAAGTAGAGAGGTACACAAATTTTCCTAGGATTCCCATCACCACACCGGTGAGACCTCCTCCTAAGGATGTTGATGTTGATCCGGGCATCACGATCCTGCACTTGGTTGAGTCAAGACCCACCGGTGAGACTTTCTTGGTTACGCAGCACAAGATTAGAGCCAAGAACAAGCAAGGTGTTGCCATTCTGAAAACATCTATTTTACTGGTGTGCAAGCTAGACGATCAAGGAAACGCTGTCTACGTTCGAGACATGGGAGATCTCGTCATCTTCCTCTCAAGGTCTGAACCTTTCTGTGTCCCTGCTTCTTCCTTTCCTGGCATGCGCCCTAACGAGCTTCACCTCTATGATGATGATGATATGATATTTGTCGATGTCGATGACCTCCCCTTCAACTACATCTTTACTATCAGTGGTCCACATCTTGTCCCTTATCAGATTCCACCTCAAGATATCAAATAACTAACTAGTTTTCATTATCAACCTAAAGAAGAGAGGAGAAACAGATAAAAAGTTTCCAAATCTATGAGTTGATCATGTCTTTAAGAGAGAGCATATAAACGGGGAACATAAAAAGGTCAGGTCAGACCAAGAAGGAAACAAAAAAAACAAAAGGCTTTCACAATCAAAAGATTTCGTTTCTTATTCAATATATCTGTCTTTCTTTCTTTTTTCTAAATCCTTTTGTTTTTTTCAAGAACATCTGAGAAGATGATAAAACATGAAGAGCAAGATTCATCAATTACAACAAGGCTTTACAGATAAAGTTGAGAATATGAATATATACATATGTATATAAAGTAGAGAATATATATATATATATATATATATATATATATATATATATATATATATATATATATATGTACATATGTTATATGTACCTGGAACAGCAGGATCAAGAAGAAGCTGAAATGTGATAAGGGGTTAAGCGACTATCTTGGCGTCTGCAGTGTAAGCTGTTGAAGAAGGAGCAGATATCTCTGTGCTTATATCGTTATATACATATATAATTGTAAATGAAGTTTGTCAAAGACTCATGTAAGTTTTTTTATTTATAATCTCTGTTTATTTCTTGACGAACAAGCCATGAATTGCACAAGAGAGAGAGAGAGAGAAAATAGATGTGACCATATATAATAATCAAAGTTGATGAAAAAATGGATGCGACATTAAACAACCAACTCACTGGTAGTTTCCCACTTGTACAAAATCTAACCAAGCTCTCAATTATATATTTAAATGGGAATCACTTTTCTGGAACCATTCCATCTTCTCTCTTCACCATGCCTTCCTTATCGTACATTAATCTGAGAGTAAACGATCTCACGGGATCTATTGTATTATTTTCTAACTCCTCTACCCAACCTAGGCTTGAATACACTACAAGAAAACTCGTCCATTACTAGGGCAGGTTTTCCTCGTTAGTTCCTAGTAAATGGCTTTTTACTAGGAACTTACGAGGAAACGCGTTTCGTCGAAACACGTTCATCGTAAAGCCTTTTTCCTCGTAAAGTCGTAGTAACCACTTTCCTCGTAATTTCCTAGTAACCATTTTCCTCGTAATTTCCTAGTAACCACTTTCCTCGTAATTTCCTAGTAACCACTTTCCTCGTAATTTCCTAGTAATGCTTTACTAGGAATTTACTTTGAAATATTTTTCCCTATTAAAAAAAATAATTAAAATAAATATAAATAATATATTTAAAAAAATTAAAGAATCCAAATTATAAATAAAAATAAATAACAAAATATTTTATAAATAACTAAATATTTAAGTTTAAAATTCATATACAATTAAAGAGAAAAAAACTAAAATACGGATGTTGCTCGTTAAATTGACAAACGAAGTCGTCATCCCGGCTCGACAGCTAGTATCATTAATATACTAGTATCACTTAAAAAAAAACAGTTAAAAAAAATAAATCAACCTAATCTAAATTCCCTAAACTAACCACCTAATCTAAATTCCCTAAACTAACCACCTAATCTAAATTCCCTAATCTAACCACCTAATCTAAATTCTCTAATCTAACCACCTAAGTAGGAAATAGAGAGAAGCTTACTACAAATGAGAAATCGGATTGCTCGAGTTTATATAAGGAATTTTGTTTCCTCGTAAGGCCCTAGTAACATTACTAGGCATTTACGAGGAAATAGCTATGCCCGTGTTTTTATTTCCTCGTAAAGTCCTAGTAATACCATTACTAGGACTTTACGAGGAAACTGCTTTACTAGGAAATAGCTATGCCCGCGTTTTTTTCCTCGTAAAGTCCTAGTAATGTTATTACTAGGACTTTAAGAGGAAACAACTATGCCCGTGTTTTCTCTTACTAGGGATTTACGAGGAAAGGGTTTGTAAATCCCTAAACTCGAAACCCCAAACCCCAAACCCCAAACCACAACTTCCTTAACTTATAACCTCTTCTACAACCAAACTCCTAACCTCTTCTACACCTAAACCCCAAATTTTCAAAACTAAACAACCTAATATAAGTTCCCTAAACTAACCACCTAATCTAAATTCCCTAAACCCTAA